AGTAGCAGCAATAATAAACAATTATCAGTGCCTTTGCTCTTTTGACTCTGTCCTTAATTATGTAATGAAATCTAATAATTATACAAATATTGGCAATCTAACCACTAACTTACTGACTTTGTTTTTAAAATATAACTTTACTATAGTTGTTTAAGTTTTTGTTTGGAAACTAGAGTTACTCTGTCATGTCTTGTGATGAACTCTGTGATCTTTTATGACTCTTTCTTCATCCATTGCAACCACTTAAGGTGAAAATTTATTCTGAAAAATTAAATTATTTATAACTTGAATGGGACTTTGCATGTTCCATATTTAAACCCTGTTTTGTATAAGTCCTAATAATTTTGCAGAGTTAGTGAAACCAATTTTCCTAGTCGTGGAAATCTTATCTATTGTATTTTTCATTGTGTTTGTCCATTTGAATTTTATCTGAGAACCTATTAAATTGGTTTTGATTGTTACATTGTTGATATAAATCTACTGTCTGTAGGCTCTTAACTTTCTTTGTACAAAAAATCACCTGAATGTACACTCTCAACACTAAACTGACCGCATCACTCATTTTCTTTTCAGGGTCCATAAAGTTCTAACGAAAGTGCCCTCAGGGGTCTGTTGGGAATTCGCTGGACTCCTCCTGTTCCGCGTCTTCCGCCGTCGGTCCCGGAAAGGGAACGTGTCCGTAAACGTAGTTGCGGCCCGACTGCTGCAGCAGCGTCCGGTAGTAGTTGAGGACCGCGAAGGACCGGTTGCGCATCGTTTCGGCGCCGAAGCGAGCCAGCACGGCCAGCACGTCGTCAAACACGAGCTTCTTGGCGTTCTTCCCCCACAGGAAGTCCAGGTGATTGAACGACGGCAGGGCCACCCTAAACTTGCCCAGCTTCATAGACACCTTCTGGAAGAGCTGCTGCACGTCCTGGCGAGGAAGCATCATTTTCACTTTACAACATCGACTATTGTGCGCTAGGACCCCCCCCCCCCAAATCACTCTCACACACACACACACACACACACACACAAGAAGGACTCCGTCATGTGCCCAGTCCTACGTCCCTTACCCTTGGGTCGGACAGCAGGTCGTTGTCGGCGTAGAAGGCGGCAGTCGGCACCGTCACCTTGCTCAGATCGTACTCGGGTGTTTCGGAGGAGGCCCCGAACGGCTTGAACTTGCCTACAACGAGAAACAGGTCAGGGTACCACCGGTACGTATATAACGCCAGGATCTGGGCGATCGGCGGCTATGGTGGCGGGCGGGAGGAGCAGCCGTACCAGTGAGGATGGACTGCGCGAAGTGTGTGACGGTCTTGGTCGACGTCCCGGCCGGGGTGTGGCTCAGCACGGCGGGGAGCATGCTCTGCAACCGATTGCAACGGGACGCGTCGGCAAATGAAGCACAAGGCTCGGGCACGTCATTGACGTCATGGCTCGGCGCGACCAGTCCGCCTATGCGCACGCCTGATCAGCTTACCGAGTTGAACTGGTCCTTGTCGAAGCCGCAGATGACAAAGATGGAGTTCTCGCACAGCTTGAGCTCGAACATGGCCAGCTCGCAGCCGTACTTGGCGAAGAACTGGAGGGCCGCGTTCTGCGGCAGGAACTCGTCGGCGCCGAAGAGGTGGGCGAGGTACTGGTAGTCGTCGGCGTAGGGCGCGAGGTAGCGGATGGGCGAGCGGCAGCTCCCGAGGTACACGACGGGCGCGAGCAGCACGCCCGCCATCACCCGGTCGTTGTACTCGGGTCGCGTCGACAGCATGACGTAGAACGTGGTCGTGCCCATGGAGTGGCCGATGTAGAAGAGGCTCTTCTGCCCTGTCACCTGCAGCACGTGGTCGATGGCCGCGGGCAGGTCGTAGTAGCCAATCTCGTGCCAACTGGAAGCAAAACGAGTCGATCTTCACTTAAGAAGCCCGACTCTCGCAGGGGAAGTCCTCCCCTGCGGGGGAGGCTTCCGCTGGAAGCCCACCTGAAGTTCCAAAAGGCCGAGTCCTTGGTCGACAGCGTCACGTGCGCGCGGGAGTAGGTGTTTCCGCGCGCGTTACCCATCCACACGTCGTAGCCGCTGTCGGCGAGGATGTAGGCTGCAAAGGAGGACGATTGATTAGTCATAGAAAATTGTCGCCAAAACTCGGGTTGGTTTTGGCGCATAAATTTGATAATTGCGAATCGGAGACATGGTGGTGGCGGTGTCGCCCGCGCGCGCTTACCGAGGGACTTCCCCGGGCCGGTGAGCACCCAGTCGGCCGAGCTGGCGAGCAGGCCGTGCTGCAGGAACACGACGGGCCGGGCGGCGGCGCCGCCCGAGGGCCCGCGGTGGTCGCGCCCCCCGGGGATCCGGTGCAGGGTGAGCAGGTAGCCGTCCTCCGTGCGCACCACGTGGCTCTCGGAGGGGTAGCCGTGCAGCGCAACCAGCTGGGGCTGCGCACGGCCATGGGGCGCCAGACACAACATTACAACGGCGCGATAAGCGACGAGCATACCTTCCCATGGTCCCCTGAGCACCTCTTCAGATGAAAGTGTGTTTAGAAATGACGAACACAGAAACAGTGCGCCCACAGAGATGTGTGGTCAAATGAGATGGGAAGTGTTGAGTGACTCCACCCACACTAGAGAATAAGTAAGTAGTGGCATAGATAGGCTGGAGCCCGCCAAAGCGCGGTCGGCGCGGCGAGCAGCCTGGCAGGTAGGCCACGGACACAATAGCACGCACAGGTGCGGAGATGCTGGCCTACCTCCGACCTGACAGGCGCTCTGGTTCAGTTCAAAATGCCAGCCCCAGATCTGCAACAGCGCTAGATGAAAAGGGGACACACTTGGGTGTGCGAGGTACTTTTTTTGCATTAAGTCTTTTCTTGCCCATCCGAAGTTTCAGCCTGTGTGCTCGGCGACCGTACAGAAAAACATAATGTTTTCCTAAAACCTGGGAAATTGGTGATTGCCGATCAGATAGGCGACCCCGGCACGCCCGCCCTCAACAGGGCCCAAACTCTTTTTCTTTTTTTTTTTTTGTCCTTCGCAGCCGTAGCGATTTGGGTCTTCTGGCGCCACCGACGCGACCGCCTGCCGGCGGGGGCCCCATGTGACTCAGTGGACGCGCCGCTCGCATTCCGGAGGTCCGGAGGTGGGTGAACGACTCTGGGCCGGCGGGGCCTCGCGAGAATAACGAGAGTCTAAAAAAAGACGCGACGGTCCGGCGCTTGTTAACGTGGATTGAAGTGAGGCAGCTTGCGTGGCGGCAGAACAGCGAGGGTCCCCCGAGAGCCGCGGCCCACACGGCCCACGGCCGCCCCGACAAAGCGCAAAGCGCGTACGACGTACGCGTCGTCGTGTGGCGGAGTCGTCGGGCGAAGTGCATCTCATCGAGCAGAGGCGAGAGGCGAGTGGAGTCTCTATAGTGTGGGGCGATCTGCTCATCTCCGGCCGAGTGATTAGTGGCGGGTGGATTGGGGGAGGGGGGCTGACGGCTGCCCCCGGTTATCTCCGCGCGACGGGCAAGGCTGACCCTTCCCTTCCCCGGCCCGGTACACGGTGGTATACGTCCAGACCCACTCAGCTGACTCATCTTGATAACCGCCCAACAGTGCGTCACCGTGATGTGTGTGGCCGCCAGCAGCAGCAGGGCTTGACACAGACACACACGTTGCGCGCTGCGACGCGAGGCACCTCCTTCAGCTGCAGCTCCGAAGGTGGTCCCCCAACCTCAACTCGGCCAACCCGGTATGAACACGCACCGTGGCAATCGCACGCCAATCTTCGTCAATCTTCATCAAATAATGCGGATCCAGGAGACGGGTATGGGGGCCAGGCCGGAACCCAGCTCGTAAATAAAGCCTTAATAAAAACCTTCAACAGCCAATCCTTAAAAAATTACCGCCAAAATCATACTCTCTTCGCAATCTGGAGTATACATTCTTTTAGGCCTCCTCGTGCATCCTCTTCTCCCTCTGCCCCCCTTCTTCTCATCCTTCTCCACCATCGCCCGACCCGCTTTTTATTTGTACAACACATTAAGCCCTGCATGATGGGCGGGAAAAAGGAATAAACGCTGGTCACATCCAAACAACACACATTCACAAACGGTGTGTTGCCCGACGGGCTCGCCTGCTGCGTTCTCAACGAAGTGCTCACCGCGCCAAACGTCAACGAGATGGGCCCTTGTCCCCCGGGCTGGGCCGGGCATGCAGGACTCGTCGCGCCAGGGCCTGGGCGGTATTACACCTCGTACATCGTTATTGGGCGGGCACGGCGCGCTGGGCTGGCCGCCACTTTCACATGCCCTACTGCCCCTCCCCCCCCCC